TCTCAGTTTCCCTCATCTGTCAAATGCCTAAGAGAGTTTTCTTAGGGGATTTTAATAGAAATTAGGTAAGATAATTAATATGAACTACCTAATATAATGTCTGGTATGTAACAGGTAATCAAAAAGTTAATTCCTTTCTTCTTCCTGACAGTGGAACATATCACCACTGAATATAGGAATTCACCAGACACAGATGTCTCTGTACAGACCCTTGGTCGCCAAGATTCCTCCTAACTGTAACATTCCAAGTTTACAGGGCAGACTTTAAATCCATGAGTGCAGCACAAATTCTAAGACTTTCTAAGTTGTCAATGCTCTACTAAGATGACTCATGGTTTCCAGAGTCATTTTCATTTATATGGTATATTAATACACAAAATGGAAAGAAAAAAGGGGGTGGGTGGGTAGGGACCAGTTAATCTAGAAAACTAGGCTAAGTGAAATTCATCCTGTAAATTCTTAATCCAGGGTTTCATTTATGTTGACTGTGGTACTCTGTGTATTTCACTTCTCAACTAGATTGTAGGTCCTCAGTGCAGCATTTTAAATGGTCTTCTCTGAATGAAGTGCTGCCCTGGCTGGGGAAGAGGTGGCACTGTCACGGTGCGCCAGTGTGGTGACCTGGAGCCCTGGGGGTACATCAACTGTCCAGGATGTTAGTCTGGGGTGTTAGTGGTGGTATAGCAATTACACCAACACATGCGTGGTATAAAACAGGGTTAATAACATCCTCTCCCATAGATGTATTGAAACACCCCAGCAATGGCACCTAGTAGGTGCCCTATATCGGTAACTCTATGAGGAGCCTAGACAAATGATGCTCCAAATGGACACATCTTCAAAACACCCCCTTCCCCTGAGAACCTCTGTCTTAAACCATCTGTGGGGAAGGACCAGGGGTCTTTTGTTTGCTTGTTTGTTCTAAATGCTCAGTTCATCGCGAAATGATACTTTTGAAAGGTTCAATTAAAAAAGGGATTCCTAGAGCAGTAAAATCACACAAAGACGTACAAAAGACAATCGGGACAAAACACATGTCCCCATTAAAGAGGCCTTAGAAATCTTCTAAATGCCATCCCACTCCTCTTACACATTGCAAAATTGCTCACAGCCACACCGCAGATCAGCGGCAGTGCTGGGAGAGGACTGAACTCATTCTCTTGGAACATGGAAGCTGGTTCCCTGACAGCCCACGGTCCTGGCTAAACCCTACTTCTCATCCTTCCATCAATCAGAAGGACAGGGCCACACTAGGGTGAGGCAAAATGAGGTCCTTGCCCTGGGTGTGAAAGTTAAGGAGTTGCCCCCAAATCAGTCATGAAGATAAATAATATTTCAATGCAATATTTTGTATAGGCAAGGCTATGCTGTGATAACAAATAAATATCAAAATCTCAGTGGCTTTAACCCAATTCAATCAAGTCCAATTCAAGTTGAGTTGCCCTCCTCCATCTTACTGGGTGCCACCTGAAACACGTGGCCTCCAAGATCATGTGTTCTCCAAGATCATGGCGGGAGGGGAAAAGGGAAATGGGGCAGACACACTGACTTTTCACTGCTTGACCCAAGAAATACCACTACTAATTCTATTTGCATTTCATTGGCCAGAATTAATTACATATTCCTATCCTAACTGCCAGGGCACTGGAAAATGTAAAGAGCCTCTGCTTGATTTTGGGGGAAAAAAATTATATATATAAACTTCATTTTATACCAAAAAAAAATCATAATTTTACATAAAGAAGGGATTGGTAACAGTGCTAAGCTGAGCAAAAGGCAAATTCAGTAATGCTGTCTTTATTCAAAAATTTTCTATTTTGTTCAGCACATATTTGATTTCATTAGTTTTGCAAAGGGATCATAGGTCAGGGCATTCAGAAACAGTAGACATCAGGGGTCATTATAGAGATGCTGTGGCTTGGGCATGCCACATTTAGCTACTCGCTAACTGTGCAGGGACTTCCCTGTTGGTCCAGCAGGTAAGACTCCGTGCTTCCAATGCAGGGGTCCCGGGTTCGATCCCAGGTCAGGGAAAAAGATCCTGCAGGCCGCAACTAAGAGCTTGCATGCTGCAACTAAAAGATCCCGCGTGCTGCAACTAAGATCCAGCGCAGCCAAATAAATAAATAAATATTAAAAAAAAAATAACTGTGCATCCAGGTGAAGGAGAGAAGGGGTTTCGGAGGGCAATCCAACGCAATGTGCCCCCTCCATTCTAAGACTCCACTGCTTGGAAGATATATGATCAATTTATTTATATCTTTTCAGAAGGAAAAAAAAATGGCTGGTAAACTCCTTTTGACCCCATCTATAAGAAACACCCAAATTAAAAAAAAAAAATTAACATGTGGAACCCCAAAAAAGGAGAGGGCTCTTGAAATGCAGGCAATATGGTAAAATGTTATGATTTAAGATTCCCAGGCAGTAAAGCCTGCACTCCAACAAAACAAACTCAGAAAACAAATGAATTTTATTAATGAATGATTGGGCATATTTACTCAAATCAACTGACAAAAGTACGTATTCTAACAGTCGCTAGACGAGGTCCTTCAACCATGACAGGCCTCAGGCAAAGCGTTCAGTGTGAGAAACAACAGTGGCTTCCTCATTCTGAATCCGTCCCAGGAGGGGCCTCCCAGTGGCTCCCGGACTTGCCCTCCCGGTTCTCCATCTCTCCTTTTCAAACCCATGCTCAGCAAATGGAATGATTTGGATGCCTTGGCAAATAATCATTGTGATAGGGATTAAAACATTAAACTGAAGAGATGAAATTTAAATGACAGTTGGGAAGTCATTTTGAATGGGTAAGGGAGGGCTTTATACCACGTCACGTAGGCTGAAGGTCCACCCTTTTCTACTTCTAACCAGTGTTTCTAGCATTTAGTGAAATAATGCAGTCAGTCTCCCTGAGTCTCCTGAAATCCTCCTGCAGGCAGCCAGTCAGAAAAAGGTCAAAGCAAGAAATTCCACACCTGTGGGGCAGGGATGGCCACTGGGTTTTTGAACGCAGGTGCGGTCCCCTCCGGAGCACTGCGACCTTCTGTCCAGAAAGCACTATTCCGGGACCAGGAGGGTCTTCAGTCTGGCTCCATTCTGGACTGGAGAGTCGGGAGGAGGAGGAAGGCAAACCCACCAGAAACCCACCTCTCTAAACCGCGGCACCACCCAGACCGCAGGAACTCGGACGGGAGAGGGAAACAGGGAAGATGGCTGAACCAGGGTTCCTCCTGGCTGGGTGGGGGGCACCGCCTAAGGGGTGGCCCTGAAAGCGGGCTCACCCTCCTCCCCAGGAGAGAACTGTGCGAATCTCCGCACCTGGACAGGAGTGAAGGCCACCTCCTCACAGACCCCAGGGCGTTCCCAAAGCGACCTGCGTCCCGTTCTTTCTCGGGTGGCCTCCCCGCCCCACTGATTCCGGGGAGCAGCAGCGCTGACGTCAGCATTCAGGTTGCTCGAGTGACCTTTGGGGCCACTCTATCCTCAGAACCTAGAGCAGGAGCGGAGGCGACTCCCGACCGAGCACTCACCTTACTCCCAGCCAGGCGGGCAGGGGGCTGGGGGGTGAGGATCGCGCCATCGGAAAACCGCGGCCTGGGGCCCACCTCGGCGGGTGGGGGGCGCACAGCCACCCGGGAGAACGCCCCACCGGCCCTTGGCTACGGGCGGTGCCAGACGGGCAACGCGGTGGCTGAGACCGTGGCAGCGCGTGGGGGACTCGCGCAGGGTTTACCGCCCTCGCCTCCACCTTTTCTTCCGCAGTCTTAGGAGCCCCGCGTTCGCGGCGGCGCCGGGCTGCTGACTCCGCGCCCGACACTTTCCGCCGATCCCCTGGTGAACCTGAGCAAAGCCGGGTGGGGTGGGGTACGGCGGGGTGGGGGTGAAAACCCGCACTCCGCCCGCTCTCATTGCGCATTCAGGTCCGCACGCCGGCGGGGAGGGCCCCGGGCCGCGGTTTTCCGAGAAGCACGTGCGGGTCAGCGCGCATCCCACCGAAACCCGCGCTTCCGCCGCAGCCGGGTCTGCGGGGCACAGGGCGCGTGTGCGTGTTTCAGGGGGTGAGGCATAAACAGACACTGGGGGACGACACGAATCAGAAATCATCTCGGAGCGAGTCCCGCGCCGCCGCGGCCGCAGGGGGCGGCGGGGGTCGGCGGGCGGAGCGGGAGGGCGCGCCGCACGCCGCGCACTTCCTGTTCGAGGCACGCCGCCGTCCACCGCCCAGCGAGCCTGCGTCGGTGCCAGGCCCGGCCCTTCGTTGACCCCTCGGGACCCCGGGCCGCGGCGAGGCGGCGGAACGGAACGGGCGCCTACCCTCAGCTCCCTGCGGGGCTCCCGCACGCCCTCCGGCCGGCAGGGCGGCCGCCAGAACTCGTGCTCGCAGTCGAGCTTCAGCCCAGTTGCGAAGAGTGTTAGCGCTTGCACCTCCTCTTCCCCTCCTCCCTCCCTCCCTCTCGCCCAGAAAGGAGGACGGACCTATTTCCAGGCTGCGGGCTGGTTTATTCTCCGGTGGAGGGTCATATAAACATACAAACCGTCTGGCTCTCGCCAGATTTTCCACTTAGGCATAGGCATAGGAGGGCTGCTTCCCAAATTGCCGTGTTTAATTGCACCTGCCTTTCTGATAACCTCTGGGAATCTGTGGGAGGAGCCGAGAGGGTGGAAAATGTTGCTTCGCTTTGCAAAAGGAAGAAAACTTTGTCACCCAGCGGGAGACCTCTGCCACGCGTAGCCCGGCGAGAAACCAGAACCAGGACAGCCTCTGGCTTTGATTTTGCATCCGAAGAGCCCGTAGGAGGAAGAGGACACGTGAACTCGGCGCTCCCGCCGACCGCCACCCCAGCTCCACCTTCCCTCCCCGCGGAAGTCCCCACGCGGTGTCTTCAGGGTGCAAGGACAGTAAACAGCGCGTGCGGCTCGCGGCCGACGGCTGGGGCCGGGCTGGGAAGGAGAGGACCGAATTCCAGGAACGAGTCACCCGGAATTAACTTCTGGTTAAAGTTATGGGAAGCGCGGCCATGGACACCAAGAAAAAGAAGGATGTTTCCAGCCCCGGCGGGAGCAGCGGCAAGAAGAACAGCAGCCAGAAGCGGCGCTCGCTGCGAGTGCACATTCCGGTGAGTCCCACCCCGCCGGCCCCGGCCCCCCACCCTCGCGTCGCTCCGACCCGGTGCGGAAGCGGTTAACGCGGGACGCCCGGCGCGCGCCGTGCGTGCCCCTCCTGTCACTTCGGGCGGCTTGGGGAAGGGTGGAGGCGCAGGGCCGAGCTGGGCCGCTGTGCCCGGGCTCCATCCCTCTTCCCACACGCGTGCGGCCGGGGCTCGGCGACCGTCTGCGGCGGGGGCGGGAGCTGCGGGGCGGGCTGTGCACAGCACTGGATCCCGCCGGGTGCGGGTGCTGGGGCGGGGGCGGAGGGGCGGTGCGTAGCGTTGTTTTGTTGGAAAAGGACAGTGTGGACTGCGCTCCGGAGAGGTGGAGCCGCGCGCCGCTGCCCGAGACTGAGGGGAGGGGCAGTGGGTGGGGACAGCGGGGGAGGGGGGCGTTGGCTGTGTAGCTGCGCCCTCAAATGGACACCCCCTGCTCCCCAGTTTCCCTCGGGTGACTCTGGGCCGGGGGCCGGAGACTCCTCTGCAGCTGGCCCCTTTGCCTGACCCTGGGAGCACCTTTCAGGCCCTTGGGCGCTCGGGACTGCCTAAGGCGGGCAGGGCCCTCGCGAACTTCAGCCCTGGCGACGCCGGCAGCCGGGCCCGGACTTTGGCGACATCGATCGGTCTGCTGCTTGACTTTGTCCAGCTGGAGGGAGCGGGGGGCGGGGTCGTGCGGCCACCCTGCGCTTTGCCTGCCCAGGTAGCCCGTGGCCGCCAAAGCCTTCCCTAGCCTCCCCGTGGGGGGACGTGCGGCGCAGCCCTTACCTGCACCGGAAGGAAACCCCCAACTGGGTCACACACCCCAACCTTCACCAACCAAGTAAATGTACACACACACACACACACACACACACACACACACACACGAGGGCTCCATGGAAAATGCAGTTTTAATCACGGATGAGAGTCTTGGGCACGGGTTGGGGGTGCGCGGTGAGTCCCACTCTCCAGGGCTGTCTCCGATGACCCTTGTTAAAGACACCTCTTTAAAGCTAATCCTTCCTGACAGCATGGGGCCTGGGGGAGGGCAGCTGGTCACGCACTTTCTGCTGCGAACCTCCTTAGGCACTTCACTCCTGTGTTTGTTGACCGCAGTTCCTCCTTCCCAGGCCTGTGTGCACACATTGGCCAGGAAGGGTAGGGAGCCCCGGGAGCCCCAGACATCTGATGGGAGCAGCCCCCAGTGGCGAAGGGTGGCCAGCCCTCCCTGGCAGGGGAAAGCTCAGGGAGCAGGTGACTGGACCCCTGCCTGCTGTGTGACCACCAGGGGGATGTCCCAAATATGCAGGAATAAGCATTCCTTTGAGTAAACATTCTATATGAAAATGAGATATTCCTGTTTACATTGTTAATGTGAGACATTTTAAGCCATGTTTGTAAATAAAAAGTTAGACACGGGCTTCCCTGGTGGCGCAGTGGTTGAGAGTCCGCCTGCCGATGCAGGGGACGCGGGTTCGTGCCCCGGTCCGGGAAGATCCCACGTGCCGCGCGGAGCGGCTGGGCCCGTGAGCCATGGCCGCTGAGCCTGCGCGTCCGGAGCCTGTGCTCCGCAACGGGAGAGGCCACAACAGTGAGAGGCCCAGGTACCGCAAAATATGTTTTATAAGCAAAGGGTTAGAAAGGAAGATGATGCTAATATATGAGGCAGTAAAAAAAAAAAAAAAAAAGTTAGACACAGGTACTCCTAACCTCCCTCGGCAGTCATCGCTTGGCTGAGCCATTTAACCACTCAGCTTCTCCCATTTGTCAAACAGATAATAATTCTGCTTTGCCTACTTTTCAGGGATGTTGAAATAAAATAACTCATGAGAAAGCTCTTACTAATACAAAGTGTTATATGAATGCATGGCTATTACATCTACATCAGAGCACGTAATTTAAAAGAGAGAGAAAAGAAAATGACATTGCCCAGTGCCCAGGCCATATCGTATTTACGTTTGGTGAGGCCGGTCTAAAATAGGAGTATGTGTGGGGTGCTCTCCAGAGGTGGTGTAGGACAGAATCCAGAACCCGGAAAGGGAGTGAGCAGCCAGGCTGTGAAGGCAGAAAAGCCACGATATAGTCGGAATACTCCGACCAGCTTTCCTGCTGCTAGTGATGTCTTTGGCTGATTTAGACAACGTTCTTGGCGTGATGCAGCCCTTACAGAAAGTTCTGTTCACTCAATTATTCCACGACACGTGTGCTGTGCTGCTTGATGGTGAGATCCAGGGGGGAATGAGAGGGGCTCTGTCTCTACCCTCACAGGGCTTGCATTTGCTGGGGGGGGACTGGGGGGGGTCTTCTCACTAACCAACTAGTAATTACCTATTGATCCTTGTGCTGGGTTGGGTGAGAGTTACACTCTAGCTGGGAAAATACAGCATTCAGACAGATGTTAGCAGATGACCCAAGGGCACAAGGTGACCAGTGCAGGCAGTACCTGCTTTCAGAGGGGAGAGAAGGGAGAGGTGGCAGGACATAGACATGTTCAGAGAGACATTAGAGACCCAGAGGTGGTAGGCAGGACAGAGACATGGCAGGGGTTACCCCTGCCAGGGAACCAGCTTGAGCACCCCCATGGAGTCGGGGAGTTGGAGGACTGCTTCCAACTCCAGGGAACAGCCCCTTTTCATGGAAGAAAGCGTTCGAGAATCAGAGTGATCAGAAATACATCAAGGCCAGATCAAGGAGAGGATTGCATGATTTAGCAAATAAAAATAATAAATGCAGGCTTCCCTGATGGCGCAGTGGTTGAGAGTCCGCCTGCCGATGCAGGGGACACGGGTTTGTGCCCCGGTCCGGGAAGATCCCACATGCCGCGGAGCGGCTGGGCCCGTGAGCCACGGCCGCTGAGCCTGCGTGTCCGGAGCCTGTGCTCCGCAACGGGAGAGGCCACAACAGTGAGAGGCCCGCGTACCGAAAACAAAACTAAACTAAATGCCCAGTTAAATTAGAATTTTAAACAATGAACAACTTCTTAGTATATGAATGTGCCAGGCACCATTTGGGATAAACTTATACTAAAAAATACCCATCGTTATCTGAAATCCCAGTTTAACTGGTGTCCTGTATCTTCTCTGGCAGCCCTCCCTGGAAGGTAGGCCTGGGGATGAGGATGTCCCCTGAAGCCACTGAGAAGCTGCAGTAGATGCTGTTGGTGCCCTGCCCCGTGTGCCCGTAGCCCACCCAGCGTTCTCCGCAGCCTTGCTGGACAGCTCCGCTCCACACCACAGTTTCTCACTGTGTCTTTCTTGCTCCTGAAGGAACCCTCCTGAATAGGGGCAGTTTGCTCAGCCTGAGTACAGGCTGGGCTGGAAATGCTGGGATCGGGATTATGCCCTAAGGGGCAACCCTCAGGCAGGGAGGGATGCAGGTGGGACTGTTCCGCAGCCTCCCTATCCCTGGGGGTGATGGTTCTGACATGGGTTCTGCAGGATGTCTCAGAGGGTCGCAGCAGGGCCCAGCCCCTGTTGCCCACAGTGGTGGTCCGATCATCAATAATGCACCCTTTCTGGCTGTTCTGGCTTCCCTGCCTCACTTGCCCTGCTCCCTGGGATAAATGACTGAATCTAAGTTGTTGTCTCACTGTTTTGGGTGGGGGGTGATTTAAACTAAGAAGCAATTAAAGGTGATGAAAACAATGCTTTGTGAGAACTAGCCTGGTGGCAGCATGCACCAGGACATTAGGGATTCTAAAGAGTGACTCCTGGAAGACACTGTGGCCTGGCAGTCCTGTGGGTGGGGTCATTTGGTGGTGTCCAGTGACACTCACAGTGATGAGGCCTCCTGGGACCTCCAGTGTCCAAGCAGCTTGTCTTTTTACTGAATTGGATTGTGTCCTTTTTGGACACGATTGGACTCTGTCTCCACCCACATATCTGGTGCATAAACAGAACCATGACCAAGGATGTTGGGGGAAGTCATTGCAAACCTTCATCCTAGGCTCTGATTATCTTTAACCATCTTCACTCTGCCTTCCTACCAATAGCGCCTGCTGTGCCATGAGACACCAGAAAAGAGGAATCAATTTTAGGGGATACACTAGGGACTTGGGTGACAGTGGGTAGTGGAGACCCAGAGTTACTAACTAAAGTAATTTATTCATTGAATTCTATCGTAGGGAGAATGGCCCTTGGGCCTAATGGAGGGTGTAACCTTGCTTGATTTTAGTCTCAGTTTGGATCGCCTTTATGGGAAACCCTCTCTGATATTGTCAGGGGAAAGAAGAGAGAGAGGAGAGGAGGGGAGGGGAGGGGAGGGGAGGGGAGAGGAGAGGAGAGGAGGGGAGAGGAGAAGAGAACCCCCCCTCTTGTTTTCTTGGCCGGCGCAGAATGGTGTCCTGCAAGTTTGAAGAGCCAACTTAAGAGGTGGAGGGGGGGAGGGGAGGGGAGGGGGAGGGGAGGAAGAGGAAAGGCTGAGTGCAGGTTCCTTTGGGGTTGCACTGGGCCTTTAAAAGTAGCGAGATGGGCGTAGTGCTCAGAGTCCTGGTGAGTTGGCACCTCGCCTGGGTTCTCTTTCCTCAGCCTTCATCTGTACCGTAAAGTGGGAATAATAATCAGGGTGGTGGGAATGCTTTTAGAAAATACCTCATTAGAAGTCTAGCTGTGTGTGGCAATCTGCTAGCACTTTGCCAGAGAAGCCATTGCTGGGAGTAAGCATGTTCTTTCCTCCTTTTTGTCCGAGAAAAATTATTTTTCCTATTATAATAATAATAATGCTGAAATTTATGTATCTTAGACATATTTTAGTTGATGACTGTTGGCTGGGTCGTTGACTGTATTGTTGGTCTCTGGAACTCTTCACAAGCCAGTGACAGAGCAGGAGACCAAGGGGGTAGGGAGGTCTTTGGAGAGAAGGACCCGCACAGGAGCCCGTGGGGACAGAGGCAGCTGGAGGGGGTCAGACTCGATCCGAGGTCGTGGCCCGATATTTACTGCTGGCAGAATGCACAAGTCCCCAGGCCTCTTGGGAGAGGTGCTCCAAAAATC